GTTTCAGTTGCAATTTATGTATTATTTTTATGACGGGTTTTAATGGCTATAAAATTTCTTGTTTTGTTGTTCGAAAGATTATTTTCTATGTGTGGGAATGATTTTTACTACTGTGAGTTTTTAAATTGTGTTGGTGAGCCTATAATTAAGGAGAGATTTTGAGAAAGCCTTGTGTTATAAAATTGGGTTAATGTAAACTTACCACAAAACAAGCAAATTTTAGAATGTGTAATAATCTTGTAAGATCTACTTTAAAAACAAGTTAAAAAGCAGTAAGTTCGGCCGGGCCGAACTTTTAATACCCTCCACCATTTGCAACGAATTTGGAAATTTTCAAAAAATAAAATCCTTAAAAAATTCTGTTAAAATTTTAAAAATACCGAATATAGCCTTTATTCTGGGGTCTATACGACGTGGACATACATAGGCATTGTTCAAATACCAATTTTACAACAATTCCGGTGAATAATGTCGCTAAAATCATCAAAATACCGAATAAGGGGAGGTACCGTTATATGGGGGCTATATGAAGACGTGGACCTGCACAGACAATTTTCTGTCTTAGGGTGTAGTATCCATTTTGAACTTCAAATACCAAATTTGAAACAATTCCCGTGAATAATCTCGCTAAAATCACCAAAATACCGAATATCGGGAGGTACCGTTATATGGGGGCTACACGAAGACGTGGACCTGCACGGATAATTTTCCGTCTTAGGGTGTAGTATCCATTTTGAACTTCAAATACCAAATTTGAAACAATTCCCGTGAATAATGTCGCTAAAATCATCAAAATACCGAATATAGGGAGGTACCGTTATATGGGGGCTATATGAAAACGTGGACCTACATGGCCCATTTACGAACTTAACCTGCCTACTGGAAAAATAAACATGTGTGCAAAATTTTAGCCACCTATCTCAATTCATTCGAAAGATAGCGTGATTACAACAGACAGACAGACAGACGGACAGACAGACAGACAGACGGACAGACAGACAGACAGACGGACATCGCTAAATCGACTTAGAATTTTACGCTGATCAAGAATATATATACTTTGTTGGGTCTGACATGAGTATTTCGAGGAGTTACAAACGGAATGACAAAGTTAATATACCCTCCATAGTATGGTGGAGGGTATAACAAATGTATTTCAGAGTCAATGGAAATCCTTTTTAACAAGAAAATTAGATTTACTAAAGGACTACATCCGTGGCAGAAAAGGTGTGTATTCTTTGTAAATTTTAATAGATATATAACAACGAATTTGCAAACATGCAAAATCGTAACATGCAAAATCGGAAATAGACCTATACCGAAAATATGTTTAAGCATGAACTATACATCTACTATTCTTTCTTAATTTCAACATCGAAGAAAAAACCAAGCCAAGAGAATGTACATTGCAGTATCAAAATGTGCTCGACATGTTGCTTTACGTTGCTCAATAAAAAATTGAAAGCTGAGCTGTATTTACCTGGACAAATTGCATCCTGCAAACAATTCCCTTTGCCAATGTATATAAAACGTCACTTCCAGGATGCGAAGCCTATCCCCTGCAATTTTACATCTTCATCCAGTCTTTATCTGTCTCATTAACATATCTTCTGTCTGGCTGCTATAATATTTTTTTCTCGGACAGACAGACATATGGACGATCATCGTTAGATCAACTCCATATCCCCTGAAGATGCTTTCGTCCAAAGTGACCCATAGTATAAATCGTTACTTTTAAGAGACAAAATTTGGCCGTAGCCATATGGCTGAGATTATAAAAAGAATCACTGTCTGTGGTTAAGGCTAATCTTCAAAATATATCCGAACAGGATATCATCATCTTATTCTCTTAGAAGGCGACTATGTAAATAATATAGCCAATGTTATGTTTGTCCACCTGCCTTCCCATACAAGAAATGTCAACCAGTTTGGTGGTGCAAACTTGTAGTCAACAACGGGCAGAAAGCAGTCTTTAACAAGTACAATGGTAAAATCAAGAAAGTCAATTGCAAGTCATGTGTCTGCTTCACTGTGCCAATATAGGATGTCTAAAACGCGAATCCTTTAAAAGGATTTAAAGGATCCTAATTCCATTGGAAATACAATACGTGGAGATGGTTTTTAATCTGGTAGACTCTTAATTCCCAAACTGTACAGATGCAATAATCGATCGACAGCGCGATAAACGAAATCGCAAATGAACTGAATTATAAATATTCCCAAAATAAAGTGGGCTGTTGGACCAGTGATTCACCTGTGGGGGAAACTAACTGGTAAGTCATCAAGTTACCCACTTCCAAAGAACTTCAGAACTATTAGTCTTTCCTCATTTCTGCTAGAAATTCTAGAAAAGTTAATTGAAGTTGAAACAGGGCTCTACCTCAAACCGCCATTAGCATGTCTGTATGAAAATCAGGTCTCTTGAGACAGCGCAGCACGACGTCGGACAGTGGCCAAAAATGGTCAAAACCATTTGTTCGTAGTACAATCTGCATCAATAAAGATTGATAGAAAACACAAGGTGGTGTTCAGCCACCACTATTGTGGCTTGTGGTGATAAACGGTATACGCAAGGATCTATTACAAGGTGGAACAAATAACGTTACATATGCTGCCGAAGCGGTTCTGATGATAGTACGAAAATTCCTGCAAACAATCTCAGACTTAATATAAGGAGCTTTCGTTAAATATCAAGATATGTACGAGGCACCGGCCTATTTGGAAACTTGTCTAAAGCAGAGCTTGACTTCTTCAAGAGGAAACGAAAAGTCCCTGAATTTTCACCACTATTGCTAGATGAAGTCATGCTAGGCCTATGCTCAGAAGCCAAATATATCGGTACTCTTCTCGATCATCAACTAAAGTGGAAGAGAAATGTTGAGAAAGCTCGTAGATCGACTTAATTGAACTTTAAGAACTCTAAAGGTAAAATATGGAGGATAAAACCACATGTAATTATATGATATATGAGTCAATTGTCCGTCCGATTCTCATCTATGAAGCTCCAGTTTGGTGGCACTAACTATGAAGCAGTCCTATCAGCGAGGAGTTGGTACAGTTCAAAGAGCCACATCGTTATTAATTATCATTGTCATCATTTCGAAGTACACCTCAAACTGCATTGGACACATTACTTGATTTAAGTGGCAGAATTTTAAGAGAAGAACTGCACTCTGAGACTCAGAGAAATGATACAATGGCACAGCCGATTCATTGCCAATTCATCTACTGATTTATTGCCAGAAATGTTGGGTTCCAGGCCATCACTATTTTTCGGACAATGAAGCAGCAGAGGAATTTGCATGACGTGGATGCGGTGCAATCGATATTGAGATGCCACTTTTTTCCCAGTGATTGACAATAATTTCTTCGGGAGATTTCAACACAATTAACTAAATGAAAGAGAATGTAATGTCTCGAAGAAAAATTTACATTACACTCTTCAGGAACCTTGTTCGATGAAATCCATGGAGAAATCTTAGGTCTTGTGGTGGGAATCATCACAGGACACTGTAACATGACTTCTATGTGGGATGGCGACACTGGGCTCTGTCGAAATAACGAGGAGACTGAAACAGTTGAACATATACACTGCCCCACTCTCTCTTGTAAGAGCCATGGGCCTATGGAAGAGAAAATTATGCACGAGCTGTCTTAAATCTCCAACGCAGAGAATGCAGTTATTCTTCGATTAGTCAGTTTCTAATGACGACACAGTAATATCTCTTCGTGGATTTCAAAACTATTTTTATACCCTACACCACATAGTGGGAAGGGTATTATGTCTTTGTGCATGTCTTTGTATAGAGCTCGGAAATACCTTTGCCAAATTTTATCGAGATCGGCTAAGATTTGGATATAGCTCCAATATATATTCTTAGAGAGAAATTCATACCCTCTACCACTATGCGTATTTAGTAGAGCTCCCGTAACAAAAAAGTTTAGATTGGGAATTTGTGTGAAGTAGATCATATCAACTATGAACCTTAGTTGAATGCGTATCATGGCTTTAGAGTAGTTACAATTTACAAACTATATCCAATTGTGAATCGATTTCCAACTAATTTGACCGACATATGTTTTCAATTGGTGTAACTCCGCTCCTATATATATATTTTACTATAATCCTTCTCGAAGTGATGTCATGAACTCTATAGCAATGTTACTTGGTATAAAGCATGGTACAATGAAGAGAAGGTAGGGTAACTTTGAAAAAATTGCAAGTATAGAGGTCTGCCTGTTTTGCTTGTAATGTCAGAATTAGTATAAAAACAATAAAAAAATCAAACAACTTGTTGCATTTATTTTGAATAAATAATTGAAAACCGCGAAAACTGAATGAAAGGTCAACACTTCTTTTCAAAACCAGGTTCTATATATCTCTAAAGGATTATTTCGCTACAAAAACTCTAGATTTTGTCAATACATACGATAAAATAAACATTTTGAAAACATCCGAATTTGAATGTTTTCTGAACAATTTTTTTGTTATTGAAAAGAAAACACATACATAAACAAATAAAGATGACATATTAAGCCAAGAAAATAAAAAAAAATTGAAATCATATGGTATCATAGCCCTACCTTGATATAATTGTACCATGGTATAAAGGATCTCAACTAAATACGCTTCGGTGTAGGGTATTATAAAGTCGGCCCCGCCTGACTTTTGACTTTTCTTTACTGGGTTTTTCATATTTTTCTTCCCTTAGCTAAGCACAGTCTTCCTACGACACACATTTCCACGCTTTTCTTTTAAGCTACTCGCAAAAGCAATTATTTATTTTTTAAGGAAAACCGAAACGGAAATTTAAATAATATAATAAACAAATATTTGTTGTTGTTGTTGTTTTTTTGCTATGATGCATGTTTTATTAATGTTGTTTTTAGCTGTTATAATTGTTCATTATTACTTTTGTTTTTAATATTTGGGCGGAATATTATTTAGCAAATATTGCAAAGAAAATATAACAAAAGAACCACAAAACACAATATAACAGTTTTGAAAACCAAAAAAATTAATTTTTATTATTAATCTCTAAGTTTTTATTAAATCGTGTTTTCTTATTTAAATATGACAATAATTAGAGCGCAGCTTATATTAGAATCGAAACCAAAACCAAGAGAGTTAACTTAACCATTAGACATTGTAGGGGAAACGAGTGGGGGAGAACCAAAACAGAAATCGGTTTCTTTACAACAGAAAGCATTAAAGCAGTTCGCAGTCATCTTTCGCTACTTTTTTGTGTCATTTTCTTTTTCATTCGTCATTTACTTCCGTTTTGTTTGTTGGCGCATAAATTTAAATATGGTTGCATTATTTCACTTTTCTTAGTTATTGCTGTTGTCGTTAAATCCAATTACATGAAAAATATTCAAGTTTCCGGCTTCTTTATTCGTTTCCGGCTGGCTTTAATTGGCTTCGTTACTACGTTTGGCCCGTTTCCTTGTATTTCTTTTGCTACTTGGTTTCCTTCTGTTCCATTCTTGTTTCATTTTTTTTTTTTTTGTTTTATTTTGGTATGATTTTGTTTTAATGATTTTGTTTTTGTAGCATGAAATTGAGTTCTGTTTTCAAATGTAGTTTTTGTTTTTAAAAATTTTCTCTTTTCTCTGTTCTTTCTTTTAAATGAAAAACACAAAAATAATAATTTCCTCGTTTTTCTTTGTTGTTTTTAACTATTTTTTTTTGTAGTTTGTTTTTTTTTTCTTATTTTTCTTTTTTATATGGAATGAAGCTTTTGTTATTATTTTTTAAGTTCGGTAATTATTATTATAATTCTTTTGTTGTTTTATGTTTTTGTTATGGACATTTTTGTTGTTGCTGCTGAATCTATCCATAATTTAAAATACCATAATTTGATCGGCACTACCTTCCGCACTGTCATCATCGTCGGTCTCTTCATCTTCATCATCGGACGTTAGAGATGACGCATTATTTACCACGGATTCTGGAAGGAGAAAATATATGAAAATTATTTAGTTAATTGTCAAAATAAACAAGTAAAAAAACTGTAAGTTCGGCCGGGCGGAACTTTGAATACCCTCCACCATTTGGTACAAATTTGGCAATTTTCAAAAAAATAAAATCCGTTAAAAATTCTGTTAAGGTCTATAAGACGACGTGGACCTGCATAGGCGAGTTTTGTCAAGCTATTACAATATTCAAATGCGAAACTTGAAAAAAAATCTGTTTATAATGTAGCTAAAATCATAACAAGTAAAAAAAAACATTAAGTTCGGCCGGGCCAAACTCTTAACACCCTCCACCTTATGGTAAAGAAAACAGTAGAAGAAATGTGGCAAAAACCATTAAAATACCGAATATCGGGAGATTCCGTTATATGGGGGCTATACCAAATCGTGGACCTACGCATGCAATGTTTCGCCAAAGAAGCTAGAACCCATTATGACCTACAAATACCAATATTCAGACAAATCCGTGAAAAAATGTGTCAAAAATCATCAAATTACCGAATATTGGAAGGCACCATTATATGGGCACTATACTAAAACGTGGACCTATAATTACAATGACTCGCCACACGAACTTGGACCCATTATGACCTACAACTACCAATTTTCAGAAAAATTCGTAAAAAAAAAGTTTCAAAAATCATCAAAATACCGAATATTGGGAGGTACCGTTACATGGCGACTATACCCAAACGTGGACCTATACATACAATGTTTCGCCACACGAAGTAGGACCCATTATGACCCACAAATATTAATTTTTAGACAAATCAGTGAAAAAATGTGGTAAAAACCATCAAAATACCGAATATCGGGAGGTACATTATTTGGGGGCTTACCAAATCGTGGACCTACACATGCAATGTTTCGCCAAAGGAGCTAGAACCCATTATGACCTACAAATACCAATATTCAGACAAATCCGTGAAGAAATGTGGCAAAAATCATCAAATTACCGAATATTGGAAGGCACCATTATATGGGCACTATACTAAAACGTGGACCTATAATTACAATGACTCGCCACACGAACTTGGACCCATTATGACCTACAACTACCAATTTTCAGAAAAATCCGTAAAAAAAAAGTTTCAAAAATCATCAAAATACCGAATATTGGGAGGTACCGTTACATGGCGACTATACCCAAACGTGGACCTATACATACAATGTTTCGCCACACGAACTAGGACCCATTATGACCCACAAATATTAATTTTTAGACAAATCAGTGAAAAAATGTGGTAAAAACCATCAAAATACCGAATATCGGGAGGTACATTATTTGGGGGGTATACCAAATCGTGGACCCATACATGCAATGTTTCACCACCGGAGCTGGAACCCATTATGACCAACAAATACCTATTTTTAGACAAATTCGTGAAAAAATGTGGCAAAAATAATCAAAATACCGAATATCGGGAGGTACCTTTATATGGGGGCTATACCAGAACGTGGACCGATATATCTCATTTTCAATACCAACCATCCTAGACACAATACAAATTGCTCTGCTAAATTTTGGCGCTCTACGTCAAATAATGTGGGCTGTATCGTGATTTCAACAGACAGACAGACATACAGACGGACATCGTTAAATCAACTTAGAACTTTATGCTGATTATGAATACTTTATGGGGGCTATACGAAGACGTGGACCTAAATGGCTCATTTTCTGTCTTAGGGTGTAGCATCCATTACTAACTTCAAACACCAAATTAAATAAATAACGTCGTTAAAATCATCAAAATACCGCATATCGGGAGGTACCGTTATATGGGGGCTATACGAAGACGTGGACCTACATGACCCATTCTCAATACCAAAAATCCTGCAGACATAATACACATTTGAGTAAAATTTTATCAACCTACTTCATTTCGTTCGAAAGCTAGAGTGATTTCCACAGACGGACAGACGGGCAGACGGACGGACATTGCTAAAATGTATATTTCGAGGCGTTACAAACGGAATGACAAACTTAATATAGCCTCCATACTATGGTGGAGGATATAAAAATATACATTTCAAGAAATATGGAGATTTTAGATCATTGACAAAACAGGGGAAACTGAGTCCCATTGGATATGTATGTGAGTTCACAAAGACAATTGTAAGAAACTAATTGTTTTGGATTTTCTTTCGAAATGGTACTTGCCCCTCTATTTTGGTTAATTTTCGATATAAACTCTTAAAACGCCGATACGTGTCCCTCCTTATTTAGCTCTACTGTCATAATCTTCTGGATTTTCCTGGTGTTGCACAGTGCAATGAACAAAAGTAACATCAGCATTAATACCAATTTTCCTTATGTAATAATAATTCTGCGACACATAATTTTATGAAGAAACTACTGTTGTCACTGTTTAATGTCAATTTCTAACACATGCTAGAAAAGTATGTTCATTTCATTGCATGTTACTTCCCTGCAAGATTTTTTTCAACCAGTTGAAGAAATCGTTAGTTGTAAATGCATTATTCCACAACTAACTATAAATTGGTTGAAAAGTCATCTGGAGATCAGAAGGTAATAAATCACAACTGGTTGATATTCAGATGACTTTTCAACCAATTTGAAGTTAGTTGTAGAATAATGCATTTACTAACTAACTTACCAGCGGGGCATTTTTCAACCAGTTGAGAAAATCGTTAGTTATAAATGCATTATTCTACAACTAACTTGAAATTGGTTGAAAAGTCATCTGGATATCAACCACTTCAAACACCAAAACGAAAATAAATTGCAAAAACAAAACACATATAAGAGAAAAAAACAGCCCAAAAAACAAAGATGATTTTTTATATCGAACTACTTTGCAATAATTCGCATTATACATTTCCAAAATACTTCGATATAAATGCAACGTACAATAATACAAGCTAGTGCTGCTAACCTTAATACACAAGTACATAGGCTAAGAAAAACAGTGCAGCCAGGATATCTGAAAATATCACTCCTTCAAATAGAAAATAAAGAATTTAATTAACAAAAAAAATAAATAAATAAAAAAATTGAAAAAGAAATTTTTGAACTTTTTTAACATATTTTTTAACTGACTAAAAATTGGCTTAAAAGTAATTGGTTTATAGTTAGTTTAAAAGTAACTAGTTTATATTTAGTTTCAAAGTAATGCAGGAATGGACAATTGTCCACTGCCTAGCTCATCCCCATGTTAAAATAGTTAGTTGGCGTAAAGGAAATAAGTCAAAAAAATAACTAGTTGTGGTTTTTTTTAAATTAATTTTAAATTAGTTTTAATCCAATTTATTTTCCTGCAGGGTTACTTATGTCTAAACATAATCGCTACATATGCGCATAGATGTATATGTATGCATTTATGTTTATATATAATTTATTACTTATGTAAAGTTGTACACATTTATGTTGTAACAAATTTATGTTGCCATTTCTTGGGTCCATTTACAATTGAAAGACAACGATATGGTCCGGAATGACGGGAGAAAGGGGGGCTTTGAATGTTTCAGAAGAGTAAAAGATGTTAGAAATTAAGTAACACATGTTCCAGTTGCATTCATTCGTAACATAATAATGTACATGTCTAACATTCTCAATCGTAGTTTGTACATATGAGTACATAACTACATACATACCAATGTACATACGTAGTGAGTTGTACTCTGTAGTGGCAAAAACATGAAAACACTACAATTATGTTTTACATCCTAACATTAAGGCGGCACCTGGTGTGGGAATAGTTCTGTCGGTCGATAGAGAACACTTAAGTCACAGTCAGAATAAGTAACGAATTGTCATTGTAAATTGCACTCACATTCCAATCCCCTGAAATACTGCATGAAGGCCAAGGTCAAACCAGAAAAGATGTTTATATTTTTCGATCGTAATAAACAGGGTATAATTACACTGTGCAATATAAAAAAAAACTGTAAGTTCGGCCGGGCCGGACCTTGAATACCCTCCACCGTTTGGTACAAGTTTGTTAATTTTCAAAAAATAAAATCCGTTAAAAATTCTGTTAAAATCTTAAAAATACCGAAAGTAGCCGTATATTAGGGCCAATACGACGACGTGGACCAGCATAGGCAACTTTTGTCCTAAGCTAATACAATATTCAAACGCGAAACTTAAAAAAAATCTGTTTATAATGTAGCTAAAATTATCAAATAACCAAATATACGGAGGTAACATGGGGGTAATAAAACGTGGACCTGCACAGACAATTTTCTGCAATAAGCTGTAGTATCCATAACGAACATCAAATGCCAAATTTGAAATACCTCCGGTAAATAATGTCTTTAAAATCATCAAAATACCTAATATCGCAGGTACCGTTATATGGGGGCTATACGAAGACATGGACCTACATGGCCCATTTTCTGTCCATTGCTGTAGTATCCATTACGAACTTCAAATACCAAATTTGAAACAATTTCGGTAAACAATGTCGCTAAAATCATCAAAATACCGAATATCAAGAGCTACTGTTATATGGGGGCTATACGAAGACGTGGACCTGAACAGACAATTTTCTTTCATAGGCTGTTACGAACTTCAAATACCAAATTTGAAATAGTTCCGGTGAATAATGTAGCTATAATCATCAAAATACCGAATATAGGGACGTACCGTTGTATGGGGACTAAACGAAGACGTAGACCTACATGGCCCATTTTCTGTTTTATGCTGTAGTATCTTTTACGAACTTCAAATACTAATTTTGAAAAAATTCCGGTAAATAATGTCGCTGAAATCATCGAAATACCGCATATCGGGAGGTACCGTTATATGGGTGCTATACGAACCGTGGACCTACATGACCCATTTTCAATACCAAAAGTCCTTACATTTGAGTACATTTTTATCAACTTAATTCATTTCGTTCGGAAGCTAGAGTGATATCCACAGACGGACACACGGATAGACGGACGAACTTTGCTAAATCGACATAGAATTTTAAGCTGATCAAAAATAAATATACTTCGTGGGGTCTAA